GCCTCTCACCACCATCTCCCACCCTCTCTCTCCTCTTCCCTGCCTCTCACCACCATCTCCCACCCTCTCTCTCCCTCTTCCCTACCTCTCACCACCATCTCCCACCCTCTCCCTTTCCTCTTCCCTACCTCTCACCACCATCTCCCACCCTCTCTCTTCCCTGCCTCTCACCACCATCTCCCACCCTCTCTCTCCTCTTCCCTGCCTCTCACCACCTTCTCCCACCCTCTCTCTCCTCTTCCTTGCCTCTCACCACCATCTCCCACCCTCTCTCTCCTCTTCCCTGCCTCTCACCACCATCTCCCACCCTCTCTCTCCCTCTTCCCTACCTCTCACCACCATCTCCCACCCTCTCCCTTTCCTCTTCCCTACCTCTCACCACCATCTCCCACCCTCTCTCTTCCCTGCCTCTCACCACCATCTCCCACCCTCTCTCTCCTCTTCCCTGCCTCTCACCACCATCTCCCACCCGCTCTCTCTCCTCTTCTCTGCCTCTCACCACCATCTCCCACCCTCTCTCTCTCCTCTTCCCTGCCTCTCACCACCATCTCCCACCCTCTCTCTTTCTCTCCCTCTTCCCTGCCTCTCACCAACATCTCCCACCCTCTCTCTCTCCTCTTCTCTGCCTCTCACCACCATCTCCCACCCTCTCCCCTTCTCTGCCTCTCACCACCATCTCCCACCCTCTCTCTTCCTTGCCTCTCACCACCATCTCCCACCCTCTCTCTCCTCTTCCCTGCCTCTCACCACCATCTCCCACCCTCTCTCTCCTCTTCCCTGCCTCTCACCACCATCTCCCACCCTCTCTCTCCTCTTCTCTGCCTCTCACCACCATCTCCCACCCTCTCCCCTTCTCTGCCTCTCACCACCATCTCCCACCCTCTCTCTCTCCTCTTCCCTGCCTCTCACCACCATCTCCCACCCTCTCCTCTTCTCTGTCTCTCACCACCATCTCCCACCCTCTCTCTCCCTCTTCTCTGCCTCTCACCACCATCTCCCACCTTCTCCCCTTCTCTGCCTCTCACCACCATCTCCCACCCTCTCTCTCTCCTCTTCTCTGCCTCTCACCACCATCTCCCACCCTCTCTCTCCCTCTTCCCTGCCTCTCACCACCATCTCCCACCCTCTCTCTTTCTCTTCCCTCTTCGCTCCCTCTCTCCATCATCTCCCACCCTCTCTCTCTCCCTGCCTCCCTCCCTCCTTCCCTCACAACAACGCATCAGTCACCATCTCCAGCTAACAGCAGCGTCCCTCCCTCCGGCCGGGGTCACGCCGAGTTCACGGGGGGAAGGGGGGAAGGGGGGGAAGAGGACCCCCTTTGAAGTCGGCCTGCCTCGTCCAGCAGATAAAATTGCGAGTAAAAGCCCTAGCAAGCTACGCCGCGGCTCCTCCAGGCACGGCATCTTCCACTCAACGCAGGGGTCTGATCACGGGGTGCCTGAGTGTCCCTGCAGGGGATCCTGGGAGTCCCCTTGCAAGGGGGCAAGAGACGTTGGAGGGGGAGGGTGTGGGCGACGGGGTTGGATGGGGGTGGTGTCGCTTGGAAGAGTCTGTGAGGGTGGGGAGTTTCTTGAGTGATTCCGAGGGGAGAGTGGAGAGTGTTCCTCGAGGGGTTCCTGCAGGGAATTGTTCATAAAGGGGTTCTATGGTGATCCCGAGAGGTTTCTTAGAGGCGGTGGCAGGGGGCGGGGTGGAGTACACGTGGGTGATGAGCACACACGAGTGATGAGTAAACATGGTGTGTGAGTACACGTGTGTGATAAGCACACAATACGAGTACACGTGGGTAGTGCTTATATTGTAAGTACACGCTGGAAATGAGTACACGTGGGTTACGAGTACACGTGGGTGAGTACACTACGAGTGCACGCAGGTAACGAGTACACATGCACCATGAGTACACGTTGGTAATGATTACCATAAGAGTTCACGTGGATGATGAGAACACGTGAATGAAAAGTACACGTGGCTGCGCGGAGCTGTCAGTACCCGTGGCTGAGTACATTATGGGTACACGTGGCCAAGCGGGGCTGTGAATACACGTGACTGAGTACACTATGGGTACACGTGAGTGAGCGGGGCTGTGAGTACACGTGACTGAGTACACTATGGGTACACGTGGGCCAAGCGGGGCTGTGAGTACACGTGAGTGAGTACACTATGGGTACACGTGGGTGAGCGGGGCTGTGAGTACACGTGACTGAGTACACTATGGGTACACGTGGGCCAAGCGGGGCTGTGGGTACACGTGACTGAGTACACTATGGGTACACGTGAGTGAGCGGGGCTGTGAGTACACGTGACTGAGTACATTATGGGTACACGTGGGTGAGCGGGGCTGTGAGTACACGTGACTGAGTACACTATGGGTACACGTGGGCCAAGCGGGGCTGTGGGTACACGTGACTGAGTACGCTATGGGTACACGTGAGTGAGCGGGGCTGTGAGTACACGTGACTGAGCACACTATGGGTACACGTGGCTGAGCGGGGCTGTGAGTACACAAAGCTGAGAGTATACGCGCTCCCCTCTCGCACGGTCCTCACGCCGGGGCCTAGAGAGCGACCCCGCGCGGCACAGCCGAGATTCCTCTGCGCGTACGCGAGGAGTGAAGAGAGCATCCCAGGGGGGTGGGGGGGGGGGGTCACCCCGGCCCCTCCCCTCCGCGGCGAGGTTTAGAGGGGATGAGAGGGTAGATGGAGAGGGGAGATGAGAGGGGGAGATGACATGTGTAGAGCAGGGTATGGGACACTCGTGCTGCGTCTCCGTGCACAGAGAGGTCAACACGTGACCCCAACACAATCACACACCTGGATCACCACTATTCGGCGGAATTGTAAAGAATAAGCGTAACAGATAGAATATTGATGATTCGGCGGATACTACTACTGTGTACTATTTGTGTACATGCTGCGAGGAGTCAGGGTGTCTCTATGCTCAAGTGATCATGGGGACTGTGCTCATCACCGGGGTTACACCAGTGGTGAAAATTCCACGTTCCTTAGACGGGTTAGGCCGATCAATGGGGATGAGCTACTGTTGAATTCCCAGGGAGGTAGTATGTGACGATGTGAGCCTCAGCGATGCTGATCATTCCATGCGACACGGTGGCGAGTTGCAAACTACCTCACCTGGTACACAGAACGTCGTGGGTTCGATCTGGACCCCGACGCTAAGGTTGAACGATTTGGGGAAAATATCTAATTGCGATTTTTCTGACAGTCAAGCTTCAGTTCAATATTCACTGTTTAATAGATTTAAAACATGTGATGGAGCATTACCACGTGATACCATCAAAAAATGAACTGCTCTATAATAGCTAATGCAAGGATAAGTACGTAAAATACATGAATTGCTTCCAACATGTATTTATTAAAATGTTGTTATTGAAATAAAACAATAAAACATGGAACAATTGTTAAGTTAAATAAAGTTTTAATAATAAGAAAAGAAAAAATTCCAATAAGAAAGTAATAGGACTTTTCAAATCGCAAAAAAATCGCAGCCTTTGCAATTTGCTAAGGGGCCGACCAGAAATGACGTCACGCGATTTTGGACGATTTTTGAGGCCCCCCCCCCCCCCGTCACACGGTGTCACAAAAAGTCAGACCCCCCCCCCCCAAATATGATGTCACAAAGCTCTGCCCCGCCCCCAACCATATTTCAATTTTGAAAATAAAACATGCTTCAAATCGCTTTAAACTATTGTCATTGTAGTGCGTATTTGATGTGGCGATGCACTCTGATGTTGTAGGAGAAAACACGTATTAAAAAGGCGTTGGAAAGCTTAAATCTAGCATAAAATTCACTTGAAAATATTCAACGTCTAACTAAAACTGCAGATGTTCAGAATATTATATTGAAATTATCTTATAAATATAAAATATTAAAAGTAATTATACCTATAAAAAATACTTTAAACTTTGTAGTAGAACGAAGCAAAATAGAGAGTACAATTATACCAATCATATATTCATTCCACAGAATGAAAAGCCCTGGTAGAATCATTAGAATAAAAATGTTTAATAACAATCATAAAAAAATGTTCAAAATGTTAGCTTCTCCATTCTCCCAGGGAGAAGCAAAATGCTCCTTCATGGAATAAATAAAAGGTGACCGTAGTAAATTTAAATAATCAAATAGTTAATAATGCAAATTAATACAAATTTGTGTTCTTGTAACAATTCAATATTTATTTAAAGTTGCACATTTTAACGTGACGTCACATTTCTCACCCCCCCCCCCCTCGTCACACATATCACAAATGTCTGACCCCCCCCCCCCCCCGAGGTGCGTGACGTCATTTATGGACGGCCCCTAATCGCATTGTTTCAAATTGCGATTTCGATTTGAAATCGATTAATGGTTCAGCCCTACCTGACACCCTGTACATCTTGAGTTTGCGTGCTCTCTCTCTTCCCGTGGACGCGTGGATTTTTCTCCGGCTCGTGCGCTTTTCCCCTCCACATTTAGAAACACGCGTTCAGAGTAGTTGGCCTGTTAACTTTACACGCAGGTAATCCGCTTCGTTGAGCTGTATCACACGTGGCCAGATCGCTTCTGAAAAAAATAGCTACAGAACTCAGTGGGCCTTACCTGGTAAAATTTTTTTTTAAAAAATAGTTTTACGAGAGCACGAGGACCGTGCACATCATCACGGGCCCATACACCAGCGGTGGAAATTCCACGTTCCATCGACGGGTTAGGTTCATCCACGGCGACGGGCTCAACTGTTGAATCCCCACAAAACGGGGCACACACGTGTCACACACGTGTCACGTCGGGGTGCCGGGGGGTTGGATGTGTGTCAGTACTACTCAGTCGACCCGTGGCATCTACTGGGTCTGCCCCGTGACCTCCTGCCCAGCGGGCGTTCGACACTTCACGTGGCCTCAACGTGCACCTATCCTGGCACAAGCGCCGTGGTGACGTCACCGCCACTTAGTGGCGAATGGCGGTTGTTGTTGTCCTTGTGACTCAATATCCTCATTGTGATTCACAATTCATATCTTCTCTTCCAATCTCGATATCTCGCTCAGAGCGCGCGCCGACCGCACGCACGTGGCGCGTGCGCGGGTCACGCGGCCGGTCACGTGCGCCGCCTCCTCCGCCGCCGCCGTCAGAGCGAGCGGAAGCCCTCGCGCGGGGTATCGTGGGAGCGGCCCCCGCGTGTCCTTGGCGAATCCGAGTCACCTCGCGTGTCTCCCTCTGTCTCACTCTCACACGTGTCTCTCTCTCACGTGTCTCTGTCTCTCCGTGTCTCTCTCTGTCACGTGTCTGTCTCTCCGTCTCGAACTCTCTCACGTGTCTCTCCGCGTGTCGGTGCGTGCGTGTGCGTCGTTTCGCGTACCACATCGAGTCTCTTCCCCACACATCCCTCGTACCCACGCACCCCACGCACGCCGCCCGCCGTGTTCTCGTGGCTCCCCCCCGTGTCTCACTCCCCCCCCCCCGTGTCTCTCACTCTCGTGTTACCCCCCGCTCGTCCCTCGGTCCGCGAAGAGGAGAGGGAGGAGGCTCTCAGGATACTGCGATGCTGGCCGCGGAGAGCCTCGTGAACCAGATGGCGGGTAAGCGTGTCTCCTCAACACTGTGCGCGCCTGGCACTGGACTCGTCGACTGTACGCGCCTCTATACTGTACCAATGTAAGCACCGCGCCCTTGTCCGCACTGTACCCTTGTCCCGTACTGTACAAGCGCCTCAGCACTGTACCCGTGTCCCGTACTGTACAAGCGCCTCCGCACTGTACCCGTGTCCCGTACTGTACAAACGCCTCCGCACTGTACCCTTGTCTCGTACTGTACGCTCGTCTTCGCACTGTTCCCATGTCTCCTCACTGTATCCTTGTCCCCTCACTGTACCCTTGTCTAGTACTGTACGCGCGTCTTCGCACTGTACCCTGGTCTCCTCACTGTACCCGTCCCGTACTGTATGCGCGTCTTCGCACTGTACCCTTGTCTCACTGTACCCTTGTCTCCTCACTGTACCCTTGTCTCACTGTACCCTTGCATCGTACTGTTCGCGCGTCTTCGCTTTCAGATGCGAGGGGCAGGGTGAGGCAGCGGCTAGCTTTGATCATTTAACACGTCCTGGACTTTACCGATAAGGAAGTTTTCAGGGTAACTCCTGGGCTACGTGGGACTCGCATGCAAGGCGTGTACGGTGGCGAGATGTTAACTACATCGCCTGGTACACAGGAGTTCGTGGGTTCGTTCCCCGTCCCTGACGCCTGCTGCTGTATATTTGGAGTTTGCGTGTCTCTCTCCTCGTGGTCGCGTGGATTTTTCTCGGGGACCCCTCCGGGTTTTCCTTCCCTCCACATTTAGATTCAACTTGCGTTTAAATGATTTGGCTGCTGTACATTTCCACATCATAAGCCACTTTGTTGAGCTATAATTTGTGGCCTAAACCTGGTAAAATAAAAATTATATATATTTTTGTTTTCGTGTAGCTACTAGAGAAGAGCTGCAGTTATTGAGTGAGCGACAAGCCAGGATAGTGCAACTGTGGCCATGTATCCCAAACTATGGGGCCATATAGTAAATCCATGGAAGCAGAGTTACAAAGACACTCCAAGAGATACATATAGAGACCCATAGAGATGCATTAAAGACAAACTGCAGTAGTGTGATTGTGGCTACGTAATCCAAACTATGGACCATACAATAAACCCTGAGAGACACGTGAAGATACACAAACACTCCTAGAAATACATCGAGACCTATATCGATATATTAAAGACAAGACAAAGCTTGTAACTGTGGCCATGCAACCCAAATTATGGACCATATAGTAAACCCATAGAGACACATAAGAGATACAGAGACTCCTAGAGCGATACATAGACTCATAAATGCATTAAAGACAGGCCACATTAGTGCCATTGTGGCCATGCATGCCAAACTATAGAGCACGCATTAAACCCATAGAGACACCTAGAGATACATAGAGATGTATTTTAAAGATAAGTCACATGAGTGCTTTGGCCATGCAACCCAAACAGTGGACTGAATTGTAAGCCACTACTTGTCAGCGCTACACCGGGCTCTCCCTGAAGCCTCCTCGTGGCCAGCAGACCTCCACATTGGCATTCGGCACCCTAACAACAATATTGCCCTACGCACGATTGAATTTTTAGTGAGCGCGAGTGAATAACGGCACCCATAGAGAACCACTGTGGCCACGAATCGTGTGATGAACACAGGAACGGGTGATGTGTGTGGCGTTGTTGAACGCGAGTTGTGTGTGGTCATCTTCTGTCCGTTGTGGTGCTGTCTGTGCAGTGTCGTAAGTGTGCAGTGTTTATTGTGGTTGGTGGTGCGTGTGTGTCGTAATGTGTGGTGGGAGCGGTGGCACAGTCGTTAGCGCGCTGCACGACGAACCCGGCAGCCAGAGTTCGATTCCCGCTCCCGGCCAACATCAGTGACGATTATCTGAACCAGTACTTGGCCTCCCTTAGGTGGACTCGGCCTCAAATGAGTACCTGATGCGATGTGTAAACAATGCCTTTCGGGAGACAAAGGCGGCCGGATGTGGTGCTGGCCACCCGCCTCCTCATGTGCCGTTCCAGCCTTCATATGTGCTCGCTAACGGCACTTGCCCCCGCTGTCTGTTAAGGCTATGCAGTAGCTCATGATTCTGCACAGTGCTTGCCTATGCTGGAGCCACGCCTGCCTCTGTCCTGGGTGATTGATTTTCTGAACACGTGGGGTCTCTAACCTCACCATGATCAGCGTTTGTGCTCATGGCTCATTAAACGGCCAATGATGTCCCAGAATTCAGTGGGAGAGCATTTCATTTCATACACATGGATGAGTTCTCTTTTTGTAACCTTTGCCAATATTCATAGAGTCTGTGTTATCTATAATTTTAGTAATAATCACATTTTAAACTAATTAATATTCATGATAATTGTTTTTACCCTTTTATCTGGAAACAAAACTGACACAGTTTTTTACAAGGAATCATGTTTACATTGACCACAATACCTGCAGTCGGAACGCAAACAAACAGTTTTGTTGCCAGATAAAAGGGTAAAAAAACAATTATCATATTTTGTTACTGGCAAATGAGGTTTCCAATGGTGTAAATGCTTAACCCGAGCTCTCATACTCTGATTTTGCATTGTCTTTGAGTTGTGCGCCTTTTGGCGTCTTTTGGTCCAACACCATGTGAGACGAGGTTCTAAAGAAAGCTGTCTCGGGTGTGGACCAATCAAATTTCAAGGACAGTGCATACATTATCAGAGTTGTTGTTTTTTGTTTGCTTCCGACCGCAGGTATTGTGGTCAATGTAAACATGACTCCTTGTAAAAAGAAGGTGTCAGTTTTGTTGCCAGATAAAAGGGTAAAAAAACAATGATATTTTGTTACTGGCAAATGAGGTTTCCAATGGTGTAATTCATATTTACCTTCTGTATGTATGTGGAACTTATTTCGCACCGTACGTAGCCAAAGGAGCTTCTATGACTAAGTCATCATATACTATCACTTTTAGCTAGTTGCTAATTGTGTTTCTGATATGGTAAGCGATAAGCAAGTTTTTGGCATTCATTAAAAAATTATCCTAAACCTATTCTGCAAAAGTAAGGTCAATCTATCGGCATTGTAATTATCACTCTTCGCAAGTTATATTTAAAACCGAACGCAGCATTTTGGACTTCAGTAATACGAAGCATTTCACGTTAATCTCATTACGGAAAATATTTCATTACAGCATTTCCTTGAAGATAGCGAATCCATTTCACGTGTGGCTGAGTTTTCGGCTAGGGTGGTGTGCGCCGTTCAATCACGCAATGATCACTTATTTTCCTATTTCCATGTGTGCCCTCGCTAAGCAGTTTGTGGTTGCTGATTTGTTGGCAGGATAGATAATGAATCACCATTATGTCTCGCGTCGCAGTGTTACATCACTTGGTGTGAGTTTGTATGTACGCCTTGTCTCAGGTGGCTGTTATGACTGGTCCTGTGGGTGGGGGTGAGCGTTGCCTCGAGGGATATTAACGAAAAAAAGTTCTATGGGAACTTTTGATGGCATTTCTTTGCGTCTTCATTAAATGATTTATTTGAATCGGCATGCCCGTGTACTTTCATCTCTCATCTCTCTTTCACAAACGACATGAGATATTGTAGTATTTGTGGTGGGGGTGAGGGGAGTGATACAAGAACCCTGGGGCACTCGCCTGGCTGGGCCCCACCAACCCTGTTTGAGAAATGAAAATAAACTGGGCTTGTTAAAATCGGTTTCACTGAACCATTCGTGTAAATCCAGGACTAACCAATTAATTCTTCACAAATTTGAAATTGTATACCCGACCTCAAGGAGAGACGATGTTTATTTTTGTTGTTTTCTAATGATTTTATATTATCTCGTGTACAAAAAGGCCGATGTCCGATCCTGAACGGTTGATTTGCATTAATCTCACTCGTGGGAAGCTGATGACAAGAACGAGACATGCACACACAAGCCTAACAAATCACATTACTTGATTGTAAATTAGGCAAATTTATACATTGTGATTATGCAATAACATCGCAATCATCACCCTCTGATGGTAAAATAATGCCCCATGTCACTCTTGCAAATGAGACTATCATGGACTCTTGAGTTCTCATCTGGTTAAACACATTTTTTTATGCAGGGAAAAGTGTAAGCTTCTGCGCAATAATCTCCGCGAGAGAGAAGGAATCATTTGATAGTTCTGTAACATAGCTTGCACTGCTCACAGGATGTGTATTGACAGCCTACACTTAGCTCAGGTGTTCTGATAATTGAGACCGCATACGTATCTGTGTCTGGGGTGCCACGGTGGCAAGATGTTAACTCCCTCGCCTGGTATGCAGGAGGTCGGTGGTTCGATCTTGACCCTGACGCCTGTATATTTGGAGTTTGCATGTTCTCCGTGGTCATGTGGGTTTTTCTCCGTGTCCTGCAGTTATTCCCTCCATATTTAGAAACGTGCTTTTAGAGTATTTGGCTGCTATAAATGTCCACGTGACAATCCACTTCGTTGAGCTATCATTTGTGGCTAGGTCGCTTTTGAAAAATGAGTTCTGTGGGCCTTACTTGGTAAAAAGAAAACATCGGTAATAAATAATAGGCTGTTTGTTATTTGTAAATGTAGCCGGTGTGTGGCTTATAGCTGGGATTATGGGTTGGGCCGGCTACGTATACATGAGAACACGGCTCCGGTCACCTCTTGCACATTTGTCTTCCCGAGCAACGTGAAATTAGGCGAGGATCTGTGCCAAATGGTGGTTCTAGGCTTTTCCCCGTGCCAAACCGACGTAGTGTGTTTCCTCACGTGGGCGAGTGAGAGGTCATCGAGCAGCCGCGATCAATCCACTGCTGGACGAAGGCCTCCCCTTGTCACCGCCAACTCTCACAATCATAGCTGCCCGTGGAAAGTAAAAAAAAACCTCGCTGACATTTCAGTGGAAACAGTCATTTTGTGGATGAAATGAAAAATCCAGCCACATGTCCGATCGCATTGAGCGTTACGCTTAAAATGGACGCGCGCTGTTTAACCCAACCGTTGCATTGCAGTGACGACAGTTCTCTCGACCGTACACATTGAAAACAAATGTTTTTTTTTTCAATATAACTTCGATTTTTCTTCTCCCTTAAAACGATTTAAGTGGTGGGTTTGTATTTCTTTCGTGCTGTCTTGAATGTTCCTTGCGGTTATTTTGCCGGAAGCCTAAACGCCGATCAGCAGGCTCTTTGGAGCAAATGGGGCCGTGTTATCTGAAACGACGCGTTTCTCTGTTTGTGTGTGGACCAGCTGCCGAGCCGTGGCCAGAGAACGCTGCCTTTTACCAGCCGCTGAGAGGTACGCGCGCCCATCAAAACACACAGCCAGTCGAGTTTGTTACAACCCGGGTAGCTGTTCGCGGTCATGCCGCGCGGCTCTGCGATGTGTTTCCGGGTTGTACCGTGGTGTGTTGTTTGGCACGATTGTCCGACGTCTCGTGCCACATGCTGGGAGATACTTCGACAATACGCGTGGTACAACCCGGAAAGGCGTCGGAGTTTTTTTGTCCTCCACTGGAAATATAGCCAGTTGTGCTACAGTACGAGGTGCATATTTTTATCTGGGCATCTGTGAAACTACTGGACATCTGTGAAAAAGAGCTTTATAGCTCATCAGATTCCTCTAATATAAATCCAAATTCTGATTCTTCTGATTCTGTATGCTGTGTCAGGGCTGTGAGCTGGCCAGCAGGTGGCAGTGCAGAAAATGTCCTGTGAACCCATCTGTGTGGACCTTTGCACCTTCACACCTGGCCTGCAACACACAGAGTAATTTTTATTCCATGCCGGTCAAGTCAATTGTTTTAATTCTCAACATCTGGAATTTAGACAAAAAAATAAAGCGCCAACATACCCTTTGTCGTGGAGTCATTGGTCGATTGGGCTGAGACCATCAAATCACTACACTTAAAGACGCAGGCAGCAGAAAAGCCGGATTTCAACTCAGGGTTTCGACGGTGCCAGCTCAGTGCCACTGACATCTGAGCAACTCTGCCACCACCAGGCATTTCTTTGTTCACAAAGAAACTGTTAGATTTTTGGTTCATGTGCTTAAACCACAGGAACGTTTTTATCAAAGTCGCCAGGAGATGGCAGTGCAGTTATGGATTCATGAATCTATCTGTGCGGAGCTTTAAGTGTTGCCTCATTAATGGAATAGGTCAAACATCGAAATGCAGGAAACGTAGAATGTTTGGTGAGTCTTTCCTGTATATTTAAATGTATTTATATTTTTTATTAACCTTATAATTCATAACTTGTAGTGCAAAAATATTTTCTTTGAAATAACCTGCCCGTATATATTATAAGCACAACAAACAAGTTTGAACATTTTCTGTAACCAGCTACATATTCGCTGACCATTACGTAAAGATAATAACGTCAAAAAGGATTTGTATTTTTTTTATTAATGCGGCTATGTGACAATATATTTTCAGCAAACATCGAACAATATTGAACAGCCACAACATTTTATTAAAATCTTGTCACTTGCAGTTAGTGGGGGAAAGTCTGGCTGTCAGCTGCTTTGGCCCCTTCGTGAGTGTAATAAGGCCAGAAGTGACGGGTGATGCTTTGTTCAATATTGTACTGACATACTGATAATGCACATGTCTGTAGTACTTGGCAATACTGTAAAAGGTTGGCCCGTTCTCATATTCCATTTGGGCAATCTCTACAGCGTAGTTCAATCCCATTTTATCTCCTAACTGATTCTTGGTGCAATTTTAGACCGCGTGCCAAACGCCTTTGTTTCTGGCAAATGAATCGAACCACGTCGGTGCGTTGGCAACATTTTGTGGAACGTTTTTTGCGTGAAGAAAAAAAAACTAAATATTTCATGTCATCGTCGTCGTTGTCGTATTACAGATTTAAAAAAAAAAGCGAGTGTGGGTTTCTTCCAGTCTGTGAAGTCGGCGGGGCTTGCTTGTTAAAACCCGCTGTCGTTTCGTCGCCTGTGTTTCAGGTGAGCAGATTCTGGTATCGGACGCGGCATCGTGCCTGGCGGTTCAGGTGAGGCCACTACCTGCAGATTAAAGCATCGAGTGCGAGGCTCGACTCGGGAAAAAAAAACAAGGCTGCTTGCAGACGCGCATTACTGACAGTGTGATGTAGTGCAGCAATGTGTTACACCGTGCCAAGTAAGTTAGTGTAATTGCAATTTGATGCAGTGCAGGATTGCGCTGTGCTATACAAAAATAATTACAATGCAGCGGAATGTCAACAGTGCAAACGCGAATATCAATTGCAGTGCTTCACGGCGGCGGCAGCGTTGAGGAAGTGATGCGACGAATACTTTTATTGCAGTGCGGTGACACAGTGCAACAGTGTAAAAACACATTAACTAAATGAAACGTGATATGAAGTATATAAACATGACGTCATTAACAAATGTCATTCATTTCCGTGTGATTTAGTGCCGCACTGTTGTATATGTAAATATACCCAGGGCCCTGCTTTATTAAGACAAAAACAATCGGGCGAATATTTAGTTTTGAGTTTATTTTTGCTTGTCATGTTATATTTAGAAATCGTGGGAAAGCCATTGCTAACGCAAATATTGGCTGTGATCGGCAGGAACGTTTTTATTTTGGCTTTACAAGTCCGGCCGTCTCAGTAATTCCCCGATTAATTAGGCGGCGGTACAGATGCTTGTTGAGTTGTGCCTCGTTAGCGGCCTGCTTCGGTCAGACAGGCGGGGCCATAAACACGGTGCACTTGTATTAGCCGCGGTTGTTAACAGCCGCGCTTCCAGGTCATTGGTATTAACGGTGTTGGTTTTATTGGACATTTGCAAACCAGTTTGGGAATCGCACGGAAATATTTTTTGGAATTGCTACGGATGCAGGTTAAACCGCATAAACATCTGAAGCGTGGGAAATGTCACTCCACTGTGTTGTTTTTGCAATCTATGTAACCAGGGAACTCTATATATAGGAATATGATACGAAATAAATAACAGGATGATGGCTCTGATGTAATCAACACGTATCTGTCTCAGTAACTCGCGGCTTGCGATATCGGGCGGCAATGTCTTTACGTCAAAGTGGAAGTGTTCCTGCAAGAGATGCTATCTCAGCGCCGCCGAGTTATTTTCGTTGATGGTTTTATACGCGCTCTATATTTCACACGTTCTATGCGGTCGACGTGATGTTTGCTATTGGAAAAAATAGCTCGCGGTGTCTATTTTTTGTTTACGATGACGTGCATTTATTTCTTTCTGTCCTCGTGGTGGGCAGCAGAGGGCGGTGCGGCAACGTTAATTTGTTGTACTGCACTCCTGCGCTCCCACGCCTACGCAGCTTGCCTGCACCAGCCCGTACCGATGAGCATGGCGAAGTATGGTCAAATGACCCTCGCCACCCCCACACGGCGTGGGGGAGGCCCCCCCTCGTCCAGTGTTGGATTGATGATAAAAGGTGCAGCAACGTGGGCGTTCATGCCTAATTGAAACAAAATATTTTGCGAGCTTGAATTCCAGCAGACGCACACAGGGTTAGCTCCGTGACCCCTTGACCTTCAGCGACAATCATTACACGGCAGTGGCTGCGGCGGTGGCTGTGGGTCATTTGGCGTCTCGCTGCCCCGTGACTGCACCGCAACGGGTGAACGGCGCTCCGTGCCTGCGCGTGTGTCCATGTGTGCGCTCTCTCGGTCCCCGTCCGCAGGCCTTCCTGCGGATGTGCAGCCTTCCCGTGTACGTCGTCTACCGGCCCAACGCCGAGCAGATGTCCCCTTCCGGTGAGAGCTGCCGCCGTGGGGTTTCTCTGGGCCCCCTCCCGTTTCTTTAGAACGACGGCGCTTAGCGGCGCCTGCGATACGTCAGCCCAAGGGTGCGCGCCCGCGCGCGCGCGCGAGAGAAAGAGGGAGGGAGCGAGCGAGCGAGAGTTCGACGTGCAGACACGCACCCACGCACGCACGCACGCAGGGCGGGCTCGTGGGCGGGTGGGTGGGCGTGAGTGCATGGTGTGGGGGTGGGGTGCTGTGGGCAGCCAGCCTGACTCTCTTACCCCAATTTCTCTTCTCGGGTCCAGTGGCTGCTGCATTCATTGTCAGCGTGAATGTGCTTAGGAAGTTCATGAACTCTAAAGCAGTCGTTATCACAATTGCCTCATTGCCATTGTGCTTTGTGACTTAATTGGGCTTATCAGTTTTAGTGCCGCGGTAAATTACAATGTATTTTCTAATACTCGCTTGACTTTATGCTTGGGGGAAACTGGTCGTGTAAATTTATGCAGTTTTTACAGTCACTTTGCTGTAATTTATCCGTCAGAATTCCCCTCGTTGCAGCGTCTCGATGTATTGCTCCGGTACGAATAAAAAAAACTCGAGCCCTTCCCTTTTGCAGGCAGAGAAGCCGGAGGAATTGAGATATTCGAGCGTAATTCTAAAACACGGTGGCGGCTGCTAATTATTAACAGTAACTATTGAGAAAAGCAAAGTTGGGAAGAATTAATCAGCTGTAAAGGTCACGCGGACTACCGCCCGTGTTGGAACGTTACATTTGTTAAATGCTAAACGATGGTGGAAGAGAAAACCAAAAAGGTCACTGGAAAATGTCACAACTTAATATCAAACCCGACTGCAGGTCCGGGGGCCCTTAGCAGCAGCCCAAGACTAATTGGGTACCTCACCGCTCCGGTCCGTTCGGAGGCGGCGCATTAATCAGGGAATAATCGCACCGGCGAGGATTGGTCGCTGAGCTCTCTCCCCATTTCTCTCGCGCCGGGGGAAGGGATAATGATAAAGAATGGCGGCGTGGCGGCGAGCGAGTGGGCGAGGCCCTGGTGTTCGCCCGGCGACAGAGGGTGAACGGGAGGTGAGCAGAGCGTCACGCAAACTCGCGGAGAATCGCGCACGCCGCTGAACTCTGCGTGACCGTGGGGCTGTCACCGACGCAGAGTGATGCCCCCCCCCCCCCACCCGCGCTCTATCCCTCTTGCATCTCCGTCCGGCCCTAGCAGGTGCTACGCACGGAGCTGCAAAACGCTCGCAGAGGAGCGCCATACATTATACATAATATGGTAATGGCCGCCGTTTCGCATCCATCTCCGGACGCTTGTGAGCATGCGCGGACGCGTATGCAGATTTTTTTGTAGCAGAGTTAAGCGGCCAATTTGTATGTATGGTGAACTTCTTTCGCGCCATACGTAGCCCAACAGCCACTAATCAGAGGCGACGAACGATAAATTATCTTTGCCTGCAAATGGGCCAGATGGGATGTACGCTGGCTTCGTTGGGTATGAAGGTAAAAAAAACCACTAGCCTCCTGTTGATTCCAAAGAGGGGGGGCTTGGCAAAGAGCAACAGGATTCCGGCCGCGACGAGGGCTGGCGACGAAGGGCGGATCGGCCAGAGAGAGAAACAAAAAAGCAAGCACACAACTCCCCCGTCCGCCTCGCCGCTACATCGCGGGATGCCAGTAAATGGTTCGATTTAAAACATTAACTTGCGCCAGCGTAATTGGAATACTTAAAAAGTGCACTCAATTGGAACTTTGAGTTCGATAATTAAGGGCCTATTAGGTAATATTTAAATTCTCATTACGGCGCCGCCGCCGAAGACGAGCGAGCGCCGCCGTGGCCCCGTCTCATTACCGGGGGGGACGTCGGAGCCCCGGCGGTGCCTAATGTATGCGCTGCCCTTGAGGTTGATCGGATGGACTCTATTGAACCGTCGCGAGCCTCATCAGTATTCGGCGCCGTGGGTGTTTGCGGGCTGGGGTCAGGCAGAGGGAAAAGGTGAGGCAGCGGGCAGCGGGCGTGGGGCTGCCCCCCCGACCGCCCGCCCCCCCCTGCCCTCCCCACCTCCCCGGTTCATCAGAGCACCAGGTAACGGCGCTCTCTCGAGGCTGTGGGAAAATCTGGCCGCGCAAACGGGGCAAAGTGTACGCAGGGGCCAGCGGTCGGAGCCCCCCCCCCCCATCTTTGTGATGATATTTTTGTCGCAGCGCCCCGTCTCCTGTGAGTTTAGCCATCTGCCTTGCATCCCTTTGTTCTTGTCTTCAGGCTTTTATGTTTATTTTTTTCTCACATTCCTTTAGCTGAGGTTAATTGCCTTTACTTTTTTTTTCCTGTAAACTAATGGCTCTGAACAATGGAAGCCCGATGAATTCCAAGCATTTTGCAAAATGCGCCTGTGCTCGGTACTGAGTGGGTGTGTGTGTGCGCTTGCATGCAAATTTACTTTTAAAAAATGTTTTTAAACTGTGAAATCCGTCAACATAAGCTCAAACAAGGATTTATACGTTTCGCTGTCAACATCTGACCATTTTAGGAACTGCCATATTTAACCAAATGTAATAAGTCGCTCGCTTAATAAGACAAGTGTCTGTGATGCTCGTGCACCGTTCACTTATAGAGTCTTCAACTTCATTGTGCAGTATTGTTAAAGCCGATGATGTGAACAACCTGCGACTGAATTTAATTCCTGCATTAAAGTCTCAATATGAGAGTCTTGCAAATTGGGGCAGGCAGAATGTTTTTTTTAAAAGAAGATTTCATTTTTAAAACCCATTTAACTAAACGAACCCATAGTGGCGGCTGGTGGGGGGAGCGGGGGCCTTCATCCAGCAGTGGTGTGATGACGGCTGACGATGACGATGTACAACCCGTTTAAGAATGAGAACGGCAGTGGTGAATGGGGCTGCTGCGCTCTCTTGCAGGCAAGGTGCCCTTCATCCACGTTGGGAACCACGTGGTCTCCGAGTTGGGTCCCATCGTGCAGTTTGTGAAGGCAAAGGTACGGCGGCGGCGCTCCTTGTCGTTATCGTCATCATTGTCATCATCGTCATCATTGTCTTCATCGTCATCATTGTCATCGTCATCATCATCAACGTCAACATCGTCATCGTCGTTATCACCTCTCTTCCTAATCGTCTGCTCAACGTATTGTACATATTCATCTTTGCCTCTGGTTATTTTGTAGTATAAAAAAGTATTTTGAATATTCGTCTGTATCGGTATTACCTGAGCGAGCGTTGGACACGCTCACTCTGTGAGTGGCCCTGAGCCCTCCCCAATGAGGGAAATTCCACATTCCTATGGCAAGGGATTGAGTCTTCACGTCATTAGCCCATGGAGAGATGATGAGCTGTTACCGATATATTTAAATCGTCGGTAAAAAAAAAAGGAATTCGGATGCAAATGTTGTTGTGGCTAAAAGAAAAAAAAACAGCGGTGAAATTTTAATGAGCACCAGCGAGAGCTACGTAACGAGTCACGCGCGCGCGTGCACGCGCTCGCCTGCGCGTGCACACACGTGTGTGTGTGTGGCAGCCCATGATTTGCGTAGCTCCCACCCCCCCATCCCACACTCCACCGTAATGCAGGGGAGGGCCGGCCTGCACCACCACCACCGCTGCTGCCTGGAGCCGCTCTTGCTGAATAATGAAATAGCCGGTGTTTACATTCCGCCTGCAATTGACTGCCGAGGTCCCGGGTGCAGAGTGCATGCGTACAAAGCGACGAGCCGTGCGGCTGCTGCTGCTGCTACTCACCGCGAGGAGAGTTGGTCACAAATGCATTAGTCCCATTCCTGGATAGGGAGAGGGCACAAGTGGGTGAAATGTTGATAATATCCCAGCGTCGCTCACTTTCTGTGCCACAATCCTGTGTGCTTACCTGTGTCCATGGCTCGCTCTGTGCGTGTGAAATAGTGAGTGATCGGATCGAAGGCGCTTGTGCGTATTTGTGCATGCTGCGAATGCTTCATAGGTGGTCGCTAACAGCACTTGCCTGAACAGTCTGTTAAGGCTATACGGGGGATCTTTGCCCTTGCATGCTACGAATCTGGCGATCCGAGTTCGATTCCTGCTCACGCCAAACACCAGTGACTGTTATCTGAACCGGTCCTTGGTCTCCCCTAGGTCGACTCAGCCTCAATTGGGTACCTGGTGCTATGTGTAAACATCGCCAATAGGTAGACAAAGGCGGTCGGGTGTGGTGCTGGCCACTCACCCCCCTCGCATGCTCGCTAAGAGCACTTGCCCGAAGTGCTTGTGAAGGCTATATGGGGGTCTTTGCCTTTGCATGCTAACAATGCCGTGCAAGAGAATCGCGTATTTATAGCGTGGATGATGAGAACTATAATAATAACAACAGTAATTGTATACCGTTCAGGTCATAATTGCATTGATAATGTAGGTGATAATTATGATGGAGATTCGCTCTGCTTGTAGAAACGCTTGGTTTTATTTTCGTGTTAAAGTATTGCATTTGTTAATTATTGTCCATTTTTTTTTACAATTGTAAATCATTGTTACTGTAGAATTGGCTCTTGCCTCAGATGGTGGGTGGATTGTTTACATTGCAGTGCTGTGAGAGGCAGCGACGGGCTCAGGGAGGCCTCAATTTAACACGTAGGCTTTCGCGACCAATATCATCCATAATATAGGGTTTTTTTTTGTGTTAGATCGCGTAAATATAAATGTGTCCTTAAACCCGCCACCAGGGAGGCCGTCGTGCAGCAGTGGTGAATGGTGGACGATGATGACGGCGACGGATTATTATTGGAGACTTAATTCTACCAGTCCAGCAGATATCCTCTGCACAGCGTTAACAGCGCGTGCACGCAGCCCGTGTAGCAGCCGCTGTGTGCACGATGCAGACGGCATACAGAAAGAGCACGGTCTGCACAGCGGTCAGTGTGGTGGTGTGCGTCATGTCGGTGTGACCTTGGTGTGATCTCAATGTGATCTCGGTGTGCTGTATGTTGTGTGTGAGAGATCTGGGTGGGATCTCGGTGTGATCTGGAGATGATCTGGATGTGATCTGGGTGTGATGTGAGAGTGAGAAGTGTGGATACATCAGTGCTTGTGTTGATTGTGTCAAAGGTGGAATACCCCACCTGCCTGGCGGTCTGATTCATTCAGGTTCATACTTCGATCTGTGAATCTGTTTTTTTTACACTGCGGTGATTGTAGATTGGTCACTCGAGGCCGCAGGGGTCATATGAACCCAATTATTCATACATACAACGTAACCTAGTCAGAAAGCATCGTTTCTTTCGCACAGGATGCCATCCACGCATGCATCGTGATGAGCTTAAGAATAGATACGAGTTGGTGAGAAGTTGATGCGTCGATACACCACGGCCGCCCGTGTGTGTGTGTGTGTATATATATGCCCCCTTCTGACCTGGATGCTGCGTGGGCCTGCCAGGGCCATTGCCTAAGCAGCAGCCTGGACGAACAGCAGAAGGCAGAGATGAAGGCCTACATGGAGCTGGTGAACAATGTTCTTCTCACCGCCGAGGTGAGCCGCAACCCCGCGTGACCCTCGCCGCGACCCTCACCGCAACCCTCGCCATGACCCCCGCACATGCCACAGATCCCAAGCCGATTCCCAATTCTCCGCAACGCCGCCTCGAGCGTCGCTTACCGGCGCTGCAACGGCGCGGTGTCTGGCGCGATGGTGCGGTGTCCGTGGTGCGATGGGGCAGGATAGGCGCGGTTGCAGCAGCGGTGGCCGATGCAACGATATAATGATGAGTGCTTTAGTGATATGAGTGATGCCTTGGTGAAAGAGCCAGTGATCAGTGGCCCAGTCGTGAGTTATTAGTACTGTAGTGATAGGAGATGAAGTGATGAGTAATGCAGTATCGAGTTATTAGAGCTGCAGTCATGAGCGAGGAAGCGATGAGTGATGCAGCGATCCGGCAGTAAGTGATGCGATAAGAAGTTATTAGTACCGTGGTGATGAGTGATGCAATGATAAGTTATTAGTGTTGCTGTGGCGATGAGTGTCTCAGCTTATGCCTCTGCCCAGACCGGTGACGAAGCTGCTCTGCCTTGTCTCGGCGTTGGTTCACCAAGTCGGTTGGCAACCGCGTGCAGCGAGACCTGATCGTACGTCAGGAGCAACTTTCGTCTTAAGGCGGCGTTTTTTTTTTGCGGCCAGTACGTTATTGCACAGCTCGCTGGGATCGTAGCTGCCAAGGCTACAGAGCGATGCGAAACGTAGAATTTCGCGCAGCATCGCGTGACGTCGTGGCTTTGTTCGAGAACTCAGCTGGGCGGCATTGCGACGGCCGACTTGAATGCCTTCCTTTCCGATCGTTTCTCGCGATCCCGACGATCGCCTTCTCGGATGACAAAACGGGCAGTCGAGTGACCAGAAACACCGAGCACCACACCGGGGCGCACGGGCGAAACGTTGACCCGTGGTCTCCGACGAGGGAACCGCGCCATCGGGGAACGGTGGCGCTCGGCGAGGCTTTGTGAAAAAAAGAGTGAGGAAGTTGGCCAAGCTGGGCGCGCGATCGATCGTTGGAAACCGTTCGGCGCGAGGATTCTCTCCCGCCCGAGTGGGCGTTATCTGTTGTCGATCAGAGAGAGCGAGGTCACGGTCAGTGTGCAAGTGGAATTGGCTGGCAGAATGTCTTATCGCGACCCACCATCCCTCCGCCCAATCACCCCCCCCCCCCGCCCCCCCTCGTAGAGTCCCGGCGTGATTGCCCGGGCTGCCGCATTGACACGCGGTGTCGGTATGGCGGCGGCAACGCGCCTTTAATTGGCTTACATTATCTCGGCGGAAACAGGAGGGAGAGGGCTTCTCGGGCCCCGGCGACGGTAATTGGAGACGTGATGCATCTCGCTCTGCTCTTGACCGACACGAGTTCCCGCCCGCGAGCGCGTCGCGACGCCGCGAGGTGTCGTCGCGACCTTCTCGCGGCTCGCGGAGATTATTGGACACTCCCGTAGGCGCGCCGCGCCTGCTGCTGCTGCTGCTGCTTGGATTCCAAGCGACCTGAGTTAGAGGAGTGCATCCCCCGGTCCCGGTAAGGTGGAGCGGTGGCGCGGCGCGTTGCTGCGAGCCCGCAGCCGCGAGTCGGATTCTCGGTCAATCGCGAGCCACGGACTCGTCCCTCGGGGTCACCGCTGCCCTTCGGCTACCCGCACTGACCAGCATGGCGAGTTGGTGTCAATCGACCCCCGTGACTGACACGGCAAGGGAGGGGGGGGGTCTTCGTCGAGCAGCCGATTGGACAACAAAGGGCTGTACCTGACCTCGTTTTAAAACGTTTGTGCACACGCACGTTTATATATACAAGGTGCGTTCGCCTCTTTAACGGGACGCCGTGTCTATTCCCGCAGCTCTACATCCTGTGGTGCGACGACACCACGTGCAAGGAGGTGAGTGGCGCGGCGCCTGCCCTGGGAACGCAGACCCGCTGGCGCTGTGGTCAGTGTCGGCGCTCGCAGAGTTGATCACAACCCCGCACCGCTGCTCGTACCATAGGGCGAACTAAACAACCTTTAGGCCCCGAGCACACGTATAAGGAATCGTAACGTCTATGTTTTTTAGGGCAGGGTGTTAGGTTGTGCTCTGCTCCCGTAGCCGTGGTCATGTTCGCCACACCAGCCAAGCCCCTGTGTGAACAACCTGTCGGCCTTTGCTGTCGACGGGTGGTCACCCCGTTCTGCTGTTCCCACAGTCTGGAATTTCTGTCTCTTGGCCTTCCGCAATGGCGAGAACCTTCACTTGGCGAGACGTTATCTCTCTCGCCTTGTATACCGGAGGGCTTGGGTTCGAACTCCGACCCTGATGCCTGTATGGTTGGAGTCTGCGCGCTCTCTCTCCCCGTGGTCATGTGGATATTTCTCCGGGCCCTTCGGTTTTTCCCTTCACATTTAAAAACACGCGTTTGGAGTATTCAGAGTATTCTGCTGTTATAAATGTCCACATGATCAGCTACTCCATTGAACGATCATTTGTGGCCAGGTCACTTCTGAAAAATAGCTGTATACCTGGGCAAATAAAAATAGGTTTAGGTAACCTGTCCAATTCCAGGTTCAAGACTTTCCTGTTCTCTTCCATCCATCACTGATCTCAATTTTCTCTCTCGCCCCTATCTGTACGACGGCGTCTTGAGATAAATTGCATTTCAGCGCTTTATCCAAATTCTGTCGTGCAGTAATTATATGTAGCAGGCAAATGTCGGGGTTTTTACCACGCACGCCTTTTATTAGAGAGAGTGAGCCCCCTGACATCCCTGTCGGTCAGGAGTGTTGCACTCTAAATCCTCACAAGGAAATCGCTGGGGCCTTCAGTGTCGCTGGTCTTCTGCTGCCCCCCCCGCCACCTTGTACCCGCAATCCGTCGAGGCTTCAGCCTTTCTCTTTGCGATAACGTACATGTAAGCCATCAGTTTTTCTTCTGATTCTGTTTCGATGATGTACGTGTACATCATTAAACGAAACCGGAAAGAAAACATAATACAACTTCATCAGTACCGAGGCTCCCACAAGGCCGTGTGGGAGGACATGTAGCACCATTTTGGGCCAGCTGTCAGAGTGCGGTCGTGTAGTTACAGTTCCGTGCGGTGAGTACAATATCTTTAAAAATAACGGCGCTACTACGCCTCTGTAAATAAAATGAACGCCGAGCCCCTTGCGCGTGCCGAGATGCAGAGGGGAACGGGACCCTCCCCCCCCACACCCTGCAACTTGCACAGACCTCTCGAAACAGGAAAGTCTTAACGGGGAATGTCGTCTCTCTCCGTCGTGGCGCAGATCAGCCGACCACGGTACGGCTCCCCCTACCCCTGGCCTCTCAACCGGCTGCTCGCCTACCAGAAGCAGTGGGAGGTGCGGCGCAAGATGAAGGCCCTCAGCTGGGCCAGCAAAACCCCGGAGCAGGCGAGTCCCCCGTGCCCGTGTGGGGATAGCGGCGTTTGTTGGCCCACGGTTTTGCATGCGCGTGCGTGCATTACATCTGTCAAGAGTGCGAGGGGAGTTTCAGTTCGGTGGTGCTGTGTGGAATGCTCTTCCTTCCGATATTAGGAAGCCGCTGGAGCTATGCACTTTTAAATCTAATTTCTTTGGAACTAATTTTTGTGTTTAGTTTAACACGTGGTAGGCTTTCGCGACCAGTATCATCCATAATAGAGGGTTTTTTTGGGTTAGGTCGCGTAAATATATGTGTGTCGTTAAACCCGCCACCACCCAAGACAGCCAATTAGTAAGGTTTGTTACGTAAACAGAACATGCCAATTCGTTACTCGTACAGCACTCCGGTGTGTTGGAGACAGGGGGACTACTCCACAAATCGGGCTGTCGCCTGATAAAGCTAGCTGTAATTATACTCTTTGGTTCTATTGGGTAAAGTCACTTAGGTGAAAATAAAATAACAAAAAAATCACGACGTTTCGGCCACAACACAAGCGGCCTTCATCACGACGTTTCGGCCACAACACAAGCGGCCTTCATCAGGTGAAGGCCGCTTGTGTTGTGGCCGAAACGTCGTGATTTTTTTGTTATTTTATTTTCACCTACGTGACTTTACCCAATAGAACCAAAGAGTATGGATCCTAGCAGTCACGAAAGCTTTAAATCTAGCTGTAATTACTGGCGAAACGTCGTTTATAAATGTTGTGGCTTGGCTCTCTAACACACCGGAGTTGCTGTACTAGTAACGAATTGTATTCTTTTTGTGTTAAGTTTGTGGTTCTTCCCCCGCACCTCCCAATTAGTTGGCTACGTACGGTGCAAAAATATTTCAACATACTGAAAGGGGTGGCGTTTCGTCCCCCCGGCTGAGCTTTGTGCGTGACGTCTCGGCGGTTTCGCCGCTATCGAGCGCGCTGCAGCCGAGGCCGCTTGGGAAGCCCCCGCGCGTGGATGTGAACACAGAGCGCTGGCATCTGGCGCAGCCCTTGCACCTCCAGCCGCTGACACGCCAGTCCCGCTGGGCCCGGCTGGCGCAGCGCTACGGGGGACCAGACAAGCGGCGATTCCCTTGAAACGCCTCTGCACAGTTGTGCTGCTGGTGCCGGGTTTTACGATAGAACCCCCTGCAGCTTGACTCGGAGGGTGGGTGGGGGGGGGGGCCCTGTGCTTGTATCATTAGGACTCCGCTAATGATGTTTGCTAATGTGGGGAGGATAAATGGTCCAAACGCTTTTCGCGAAGAAGAGTGTTTGTATAGGCTGCTGTTTCCAAACAGAATACCGTATTCTCCCTGAGTAATTACCCAGCCATTTATGTTATTCGAAGGGTCATATTTCTGGCGCCTGTTCTGGACAGATGCTTATTCATGTCCCAGCGACTGCACGAGGAATTATACAAAAAAACTTGCCACGTTTTCTGCGGCCTTTAACGCGATCGCAGTGCCACCATTCCTTCCTTGTTGAAAATCTTGCAACCGTCACTCGTGTTCTTATATGCGCGTGGCCTCTCCCTCTTAGTTGTTGGTTGAGCGAGGCCTGCGAGAGGGGCTTGGGTTTCGCAGCACGAGTTCTGGGCCGTCGTCACCACCGGTTCCCGCCTCCCCTACCCGGATAGTGTTGTTCGCTTGGAACACACGTTGCACGGGACGAAAAGATGGGCTTGTGTTTGTGTTGTGGCAGTGCACTGTGAGTGTCGATGTGCAAATTGATGTTGGGATGTAACATGACAGTCATAAATTGTTAGCAATTGTAATAAGGACACCGCGGTGGTGAGATGTTAATTAGCTCGCATGGTATACAGGAGATCATGGGTTCGATCCCGACCGTGACGCCTCTATAGTTGGAGTTTGCGTGTTCTCCCTGTGTTGACTACTGAAAAAGAGCTGTACAGCTCAGTGTGGGCCTTATCTGGTAAAAAAAAATAATGCAAGTAAATCGGTATTTACCGTTTTGCTTTCGGTGGTGAATGTTCCTACTGCGCTTGTTTTTCTCTTGCCCTTTCAATCCCAGCGTCTTGACGCAAAGACACTTTCCTTCGTCTTAACGAGCTCTCGGCCAGTTATAAATAGCGACGGTCGACACCTAATTTGTAGCCGTGATGGCGACGCGCGCGGCCGCGTCTGACGCACGGCGTCCGTCTCTTCCCCCCCCCCTCCTCCTCGCGCAGGTGCATGACGAGGTGAACCAGTGTCTGCGCGCGCTGTCGCTTCGGCTCGGATCTCAGTCCTACTTCTTCGGCCGCCAGTGAGACGCGCATTATTTCAAGCACATCATCATCATCATCAACAATAATACAGCAGCAGCAACAACAACGGCAAACGATCGACACTGGTGCCAGGATAGATGCACGTTGAGGTCACGTGAAGTGTTGAAAGCTCGCTGGTAAGGTGATCATGGCACAGGCGCCAATTGAGGACTTTGCATACACACAAACGCACGAACAAAAATGACTCTTAAGAGCAAGTGCTGCAAGTGAGCAGCTATTCAGGCCAACACAGCACATGCGGGGTTAGTGTGGCCAACGACGCATCCGATCGCCGTTGCCTCCCTGCTGCTGACGTTTACACACCTAGGGAGAACCCAGGAACGGTTAAGACATCACTCGCCACCGACGTTATCCAAGGCCAGGAATTGTATTCGGTCGGAAGCGCAGTCCGCAAACCACTGCAGCTCTGTTCTCCACAGCAGGCGCACGCACACAACACCACCTTTAAGAGCCTTTTGGGGCAATTGATGTTCGCGAGCACCTATGAAGGTGGCTGGTGAGCACCACGCCCACCGCCTTTGTCTCCCCAGATGCTTACACACCGTATCAGATACTAATTTCAGGCTGAGTCGACCTACGGGAGGCCCATGACCGGTTCAGATAATCGTCACGTGTGTTTGGCGTGAGCCCGAATAGAACTCGGGTCGCCGGGTTCATGGCGCAGCGCGCTGACCGCTACGCTACCGCTGCACACAGCCACACACACACACACACGCTGAATTACGCGTGGAGGAGAGGGGATTTCGCCTTGGGGTGGGTCTTGGTTTGGTCAAGCACCTCGGGGCTTAGGGGATGGTATCGGTGCCTCACAGAGCAGGCAGCACCTCGCTGCGAGCCGTTAATCTGCGCCGGCGTTAACGGCTATAATAGCGCTGTAGTTCACTTGAACTGAAATGCATCATTCCCGCCCCCCCCAGAGTTGGTAACCTGTACCTTTTTCAGGTCGCCCCCCCCCCCCCCCCATTCCTAGGCTCACATATTTTTCTGAGACCCTCCCAAGAGTGCTGCTGAGGCTCGAGAGAAATCGCGCGTGACGTCCTATCACTTTTGTGCTGGCCCCGGCGTGAGGCTCGCCGTTATTGTTTAATAAAGGGGGAGCCACTGGACCGGCCGCGTGTCTCTCCCCCTCTCTCTCGCTCGCTCGCTCGCACGCTCGGTGCCAAGGAATGTTGAGCCTCCGATCGGCGCTCCTAGCGCCGCCACCCCGGGAAACTCAGAATTGCCCCGGCCACCCCCTCTGCGCGCCTGTTTCCATTTTTTCCGCGGCGCCGGCTGCAAGGGGCCCCCGCAGACAGCTGGGGCGCTCGGCCATTCATCAGACTGCAAAGGTGCAGACTACGGAGTGGTTATAATGTGCCCCCGCCGCCGTTGAGGTCGGTGTAAATACTGGCTACTGTGTGCTTTCCTCTCCCTCGCTACCCCAAACCACCCCGCCCCGCTCCTATCCCTACCCCTCTTCCTCCTCCCCCTCCACAGCACCACCCCCACCCTCCGCCTCTTGTGTGTGACCTTGGTAATTTGTTGGGAAATATGACAAGTGGGTTTTAGACCAAGGCCGCGCGTGCGCACGTTGGTCGTCCCGTCCGTTGGCCCTGTGCGGCGAGAGGAGGCTGCAGTTTACAGCGCGGCTGCGTAAGGAGGTCATTAATTATTGCTTTTATGGCTCTTTAACATTGATGGCCCCAAACGTTGCTTGGCAGTAGCTTCATGCGCACGATTTACACACCCACGTGGAGGCATTAAGTAAGGTAAATTACTGACAGTACAGTTTAAGCTTTTACGTTGTTTTCTTTATTGAGTGGAGTTTACACAAACATTGGAGTGGATGTTTTTTTTTTTTCTCCTTGGCTCGTTAGTGACTGACTGCCGGCCCCCGCTCGCAGCTGAGTCAATCAAAGTCGGCTCAAAGCAGAGCTTCGTTTCTGTCCCGGGGGTCGGTGAACCGGGGACGTTATTTTCACACACGGCACACACACACCGCCCACGCCGCATCCAGCATACCTCTCGCCAATCAATGGCTGTGGCTACTCGACGTCACTGTGCCCTACGCATGCCCTGACCACCAACCCGGAAAATATTAGGTGAGAACTCAAGCCCCGGGTCAAAGCGCCCCCACGCCGCCACGGAGCGGCCGGTATCTCGACCCTCGTCATTGAACCGGTGGCCTAAATTCCACATTTCCATTCCGAGGGTGAGGGAGGTGGGGGGGTGGGGGTCATTGTGCGAAGCTTCAGCGCCACCAGTCTTGGCATTTGATGACAATTGTCGCCGCTGTCTGTGCCCCCCCCACCCGCTCGCCTGCCTCCCCCTCCCGCCCACCCCCGCCCGCCCCCCTCGTCATCCTCTAGGCCGACGGAGCTGGACGCGCTGGTGTTTGGCCACCTCTTCACGCTGCTCACGACGGAGCTGTCGAGCGACACGCTCCCCGAGCTCGTGCGCGCCTACCCCAACCTCGCTGACCTGTGCCAGCGCGTCGAGCGCCAGTACTTCCGCGAGCCTGGCGACGAGACCACCGTCTCCACCGAGGGCTCCACCTCCAGCGCTTGAGGGCCCCGACGGTGGCCCAGGGGGGGAACCCGACGGCGGTTGGGCCCCCCGCGGCTCGTGCCGACGGGAAGAGAAAGTGACACCTAAGTACTTGTTTCAAGCTTGCGACCAACCTAGGAGAGGCCCTGGACAGGCCCTGGACAGGTCGAGATACCGCTTTCCACTGATATTGTTAGCCTTGGCCAAGACTCGAACTCTGGTTGCTGTGATGTGGTGTGGCAGTGTGTGTGTGAGTAGTGGTAGTGCAGTGGTTAGCATAGTATTGGACGATTGCAACAAACTGAATTCGATTAAAACACTACTTCAGTGGAGAGTGGTGTCTTCATTTTTCCTGGGCCTCATCTAGGTTGACTCGGCCTTAAATGATTAGCTGGCATGGTGTGTAAACACGAGCACGGGAGAGACAAACACGGCCCGTGGTGGTGGTGGCGCTCTCACCACCCCTACGTGCACAGTGCCAGCTGCGATGAGTTCTCGCTTAACAGCACTTGCCCCCCACCGTCTGTGAGGCTACACGGGGGTTCTTTGTGTGTGTGTGTGGGTCTCCTGGGATGACCCTGCATCGAGACGCACGGGGTACTCATCTGTCTATGCTTATACGGGTTCCTCTGTCAACAATAAACGTTACACTGATATTGAACGTCACTTCGCGCCCCATATTGAACGATTCCTCCCAAGTTCATCATTACTACCCATATTTTATTAAACTGCCACGTGTTGTTTGTTTGAGTTGGTGGAAACGAGATTCCAGCCGAGTGCTGGAGAGAGAGAGCGAGCGAGCATTGCCATGTTAATGTGGCGCGCGCCTTGTTTCGTGCTGTTGCTGTGGTGTCTTTCGTGCGCGTACCTCCAGTGCCATGTATAAATGTTTGTGCAGGTACGCAGGAAACGTGCGGCCGCGAGCGTCGATTAGCCCAGTTTGATTAAAGTGATTTGATGGACCAGTGGCGATTTATCAGTTGCAATAAGCAACCAGTTCCAGTGAGTTCATTATTATTAAAGACATCTGCTTCATTTTCTCCTGCGGGTTTAATGAGCTCCCTCATTAAATTCAAAGAACGAATTTAGTGTCTTGGATGAAAATAAAGATATATTCGAATGGAGTACATTTACATTTGGTGTCCTTAATGTCGCACGTTTTTGCCTTTATTAAATAAAGAGCGTGGTGCGTCTCGCTGCGTGAGCAGATGTCCCTCATTAATGTTGATATTTCGCTCGGCTCTTTCACCGTCATCGGAGGTGGAAGTGTTGGTGGTGGCGGTTGTGGTGATGATGCTGGTGTTTGGGATTTCCTTTACACGTCAAATCAATCAAGCGATGGGCATTTGGCAAAGTGCATTGCCGACCGATGCTTGGCGCTCCTTCCTGTCTGAGAGCGCATTGTGTTCGGAGGTAAACTAAAACGAAACTTGTAGTTACCAGGTCAATGAGCTATGTAGCTCTTTTTCAGGAGCGACCTGGCCACAAATGATAGCTCAACGAGAAGTGGGCTATCATGTGGGAATGTATTACAGCCAAATACTCTAAACGCATGTTTTTAAATGTGGAGGGAACACCCCGGCGGATCCGGAGAAATATCCACGCGACCATGGGGAGATAGAGACACGCAAACTCCAAATACGCAGGCGTCGGGGGTCGGTAACGAACCCATGATCTGTATACCAGGCGAGCGATGTGTGTACGTAGAACTTCTTTCGCACCGTACGTAGCCAACCGTGCCAATCGGAGGTGCAAAAGGCCGGTACGGCACACGGAAGAGGTGGGGTGGCCAATACCACGCTCGGCCCGGTGACGATGGTTGTTACACATTGCACCAGGTACTCGTTCGAGCACCGAGTGGACCTACGGGGGAGGCACAGGGGACGGTTTCAGGTCATCGTCTCCACCCCCGCGCGTTCGCGCAACCGTGCGATTGATGGTGGGCGACGATCTGGGATGAGCTGGCGAGCACTCCTCTCGAGTTCCGGTTACTTGCTTCGCTAATGCGGCTCGCGCGCCTTACCAGCGGAGTGGCCCCGCGCGTGGCCCGCCATCCCGGCACGTCCAAGGGAATGAACTGGGAGGTGGGGAGGGGTGGGGAGGGGTGGGGTGGTGGTCGAATCGTGTTACGTTCGTTACGTGTAACATCCCCTTCCTGGACGAGCTGCCAAATTCCATAACTATCTTGCTTCGAACGCAACTGCGTGTAACGTTAGCTTAGCGACGTGCAACGTTTTCTGACGGATGGATTGAGCGGTGAGCGACGCACAGGCGTGGGTGGGTGCCAGCGCACATAAAAGCCAGGAATTTTTTTTTTGGTACTTACCGCGGGGCAATTGGCAGATTCACACCGAATGCCATCAAACGGTTGGAGGCAGAGCGGACGGGGTTTGATGTTGGAAGTGGCTACGGTGCCTGGGTGTCGAGCCTCGGGGGTCCATGCGGGCGTGGGTGCTAAGGAGACCCCCCCCCCCCACCGAGCGATTTCCGTCTCCCCCCCCCCCACCCCCTCTTGTTTCACGGCGCTGCGGCTTCAAAGCCCGAAATCGAGAGAGGGCCCCGCTACCTACGAACGCGTGAAAGGAAAGCGGCAATCAATTCCATTCGCGCTAAGTGGCCAACAAGGCGTGCAGTTTATTTAGCGTTTTGTCTTTCAAACTCGCTTCCTGCTGAGGCTCGACTGAAGTGAGGAGGATGAGGGGGCGGGGGGCGGTGGGGGAAGAGGGGGAAGGGGGGGACGGTGATGGTTGGGGGGGGGGGTTGATCAACCCGCTTCAAACGATAATTGGCCCCGCGGTGTCTCTCGCGCGCGCTCACAGCCGCCGTCCCTTGATGTCCGTGGGTGCCCCCCCCCACTCCACCCCCCCCTCCCTCCCACCCCCGTGGGGAGGAGGGGCGGGGCTGTGGGGAGACTCGAGACCCCGGCCGCTGCGTTCGGATGCCGTGCAAATCCACGACCTCGTGTCGAGGCTGCCCCCTTGGCCTGGCGCTCGCTCTGCTCACATCCATGCCCCGCGTGGTGCTTGGGCGCTGTTGTCGCCATCGAGGAGGAGGGATGGAGCCGCACGGCCGCGTGGGCGACTCCGCCACAGCACCGGGCCGCGTTTACAACCGAGGGCAGCGGCAGCAGTCAGCTACGAGCGGCAGGAACGCGCGCTGCTGTTTTAATTATTTTTTAATGAGCCGCGTTTCTGACTGATGCCGCATCGGCCCTAATTGATTTATTTGCGCAGCTCACCCCGGAGATAATGGATCTGCGGTGTCGGGGTGCATGCATGTGCGGCGGGGAGGAGTGGGGAGGTGATTGGGGGAGGTGGTGGGGGGGGGAGAGGTTGCTTTGAGATGGAAGGTGTTGGGGAGGAGAGAGGGGAAGATGCAAGGAGGTGTGGGGGAGGAAGGCGGCTGTGCGGGAGGGCGAAGGGTGGCGGGGGGTGGGGGAGAATCGTGTGGAGAGATGCAGGGAGATGCGAGGGGAGGAGTGAAGAGGCGAGTCGCTGTGGTGAGGTGCGAAGAGCAACAGAGAGAGAGGAGTGGGGGAGGTGCGGGGGAGGAGGAGCGGGAAGTAGCGAGGATGTGCGGCACAGCTCCACCGCGCGGGGGACACCACGAGGCTCCGCTTTTGATGTCGCTTACCGTGGTGACCAGGAAGGAGGCGACGAGGGGGGCGGTGAGGGGGGGGTCACACCCCGTCAGTGTAAATCTCCGCGGTTGGGGGGGGGGGGGGGCTGAAGTTGAGGTTCCGAATATTCGAGGTCAAGTGGTGTCGACCGTGTAACTGCCGCGTCGTCTGGCACAGGGAAGGAGGCGATGGCGAGGCGTGATGGTGGCGGCGGTGGCTGCATCAACGGCGGCATTGTCCACGACGGCCTCTTTCACTTGACGAGTGGCTCACGGGGTGCGGTGGTTGTCAGTGTGGAGTGGGGGGCACTGCTGTTCGTAATGGAACACCCCCCCCCCTTCCCCTCCAAAATAAGCTCCCATTGAATCAACGACGTTAGGATCCATGCTGCTCGTTTGATCGTTGGTATACCCTGCTGCAGCCTCAAGCAGAATGATTCCTGCTTCAGCTAAAATCGGTGTGGTGCTTGCGACACGTCGAGTCGCGAGGATCCCAGCTGCGGACTAGATCATCAGCGTCCCTGCTGCAGGCTGCCATTGTATTTGCTGCAGGCTCGTGATGGCTGCTGCTGCTGGTACTATTAAGCAACTATTAAAGCTATAAAATATTTTTTTTTATTTTATTTTACCAGGTAGGGCCCACTGAGCTACGTAGTTCTTTTTCAGAAGCGACCCGGCCACAAATGATAGCTCAACGAAGTGGCTCATCACGTGGACATTTATAGCAAGTAAATACTCTTAAACGCACGTCGATTCTAAATGTCGAGGGAAAAAACGGAGGACCCGGAGAAACATGCACGCGAAAACGGGGAGAACACGCAAAAATCCAAATGTACATGGGGCGTCAGAGTTGAGATTGAAACCCACGACCTCCTGTATACCAGGCGAGGGAGATAACATCTCGCCACCGTGTTGCTGCTGCTGCAGGTTGAGTGATCGCGGGCAGTAGCTGCTGCAGACAGTCGCGTCGCTAATGAGGCTGGGAGTCTCCGCGCCACGTGTCGACGCGCCGGGTGAGACGCGGCCACGTCGGAGCCCCCCCCCCCCGTCACGCCGTCAGCCTGAGCCCAATAAGAGCCCGGCTCAGTGTCAAGCGGAGCCTCCAAAGAGGCGGCTCAGCGTCGAGTCACGAGATCCAGCTGATGTGGTTGCCGGATTGCGGCTTAAGGTCCTAGAATGTTTTCTATTTGTGTCGAACCACGATAAGCCGCGGCTTCATTTTCTCCCTGAAATTTTCCCGGGTCGCTGGTTGACTGGCTGGCGTCGGAGGCACGGGTTTTGTAGTAGCCACGGACCTGGCGAGAGATGTATACTGGATTTTGTGTGCCGGGGTTGCTGAACGATTTCCCGGATAGGATGCGGGCGAATGTAAGCCCTGACGATATGGCCACAGTCATACGGCTGATATTTCTCAATTCCCCGTGGTCATGTTAACGGAAGTAATGCATATATTACAAATACAAAATTACGTAAATTTGAGCATGTGTCGAGGTTACAGGGTCATGCAATTGCGCGCGTGCTTCACGGCTGCGGTGTTGGTATTTATCTCGTCGCGTATTCGGTGAGCGAAGCTCGGCACGTGAAGAGCCCCTTCTCGCTCGCAAGCCCTGCGCCGATGTGTGTTTGGGGGTTCATTTTTTCATCCAAACCCTGCCAGAGGGCAACCCGGCGCGCGCAAAGAGCACAATCTGCGATGTTGACGTGCGGGCGAAGAAATCAAAGTCGTTGCAAAAAGAAAAATGCATTATTGCCACGGTATTGCATTACGCGTTATTAATTAGTTCTGTGCGCCTGAAGGCGCGCGCGCGCGTGCCCACGTGGTGCCCGCCTGCCCCGTGTTTCGAGGCGGCGGTCTGGACAAATGCCAGGCGAAGGAAGCGAGCAGGGAGCGGTGTTGACCACAAACAATGCACGCGCTCAGAGTGCGGCTCGGTGGCTTCTACGGGGCAAGGAGGTTGCGTGGTTCGCCTCTCAGTTGAAGGGGTTGGGTGTGTTGTGTGTGTGTCTCAGAGTGTGTGTGTGTGTGTCGGTTGTGTGTCATTGTGTGTACCGGTCGCAGAAATGTCATAGTGTGTGTGTGTGTGTTTTGTATCTGTCTCAGCGGTGTGTGTCTCAGCGGTGTGTCTCAGCGGTGTGTCTCAGTGGTGTGTGTCTCAGCGATGTGTCTCAGTGGTGTGTGTCTCAGTGGTGTGTCTCAGTGGTGTGTCTCAGTGGTGTGTGTCTCAGTGGTGTGTCTCAGTGGTGTGTCTCAGCGGTGTGTCTCAGTGGTATGTCTCAGTGGTGTGTGTCTCAGTGGTGTGTCTCAGTGGTGTGTCTCAGCGGTGTGTCTCAGCGGTGTGTCTCAGCGGTCTGTCTCAGTGGTGTGTGTCTCAGTGGTGTGTGTCTCAGTGGTGTGTGTCTCAGTGGTGTGTCTCAGTGGTCTGTCTCAGTGGTGTGTGTCTCAGCGGTGTGTCTCAGTGGTGTGTCTCAGTGGTGTGTCTCAGTGGTGTGTCTCAGCGGTGTGTGTCTCAGTGGTGTGTGTCTCAGGGTGTGTGTCTCAGTGGTGTGTGTCAGTGGTGTGTGTCTCAGCGGTGTGTG